AAAGTGCCCAGTTTTGCAATTAAGCTGATTCTTACTCTCTAGCTGCTGATGGATTTCTAGCAGCAGCTGCAGTAAATAATGACTTTGCATTACAACAACTAATACTCATCTTTCTCAGATGGTCAGACTCACCAACACTTATTTCTCCCTGATTATGTTCTCTTTTAAAGAAGGACTATCCTTGAAAAATGGCTGGAAATGTCTAGGGAGCACCATGCAGTGGCCAGATTGCAAATTTAAGAATCCTATGATGATCATAATTAAAAAACAGTTTTGGTTGTCAACTGCTTACTGTGGACATTTTAAAATGTCAACATTTATCTTTTAAACCCTAACTGGCTTATGAAAAATGAAAACAACAAGGAATATACAAAAACACAAAATATTTAATAATCTTAACGATACCTTTAACTGCTTGTCTTGCTCTTCTATTTTGCAGGTCAAAAATATGTATCATCTTATTATATATTTGGGGTAAATGCAATAAATAAATAAATAAGCATTTATTCCCATTATTTGTTGTTTTGAGAGTTGATTAAGAACATCTTGCAGCATTCTGAACATATTAACAACTTAGGTGTCACTGGGCCAGGTTTATCTTCTGGTGATTCTATGTCCAATAGCTTATCAACCTTTTCTGTCTTTGCTGAATTATTTTGGTTTTTGTTATTATAAAATAAATTTTATTTTAAAATACATGTTATTTTATATATTTTATTTTATAATATTTTATTGTATAATATTGTATTTTGTTATTGTAAAATAAAATATATTTTATGATTTTGCCTAAAATTAACATTTATTCCATCTTCAGATTAGTACTCTCTCTACTTTTCCAGCACATAATTTATCTTGATTTATTTTTTAATATCACATTATTTTTTTCTAAAATGTCTATATCATAAAAATGGTAGGACTGGAGTGGAAATTGGAGAATAAAATACTAATAATTTGAGATATGCAAATCTTTAAAATATCTCTTGTATGTTGTTGTCATAGTACACCATTTGCTGTTATTCTGTAGCTACTGTATCTTTCTTTGCACTTTTGTGCTTCGCATTGATTATACTGATACTGATATGATTGACAAATCTTATGATATCTACAATCTCTGAGTTCTGTTTTTAAAGGTCTATGTTTAACCTATATACTTGATATCTATAATTCACAGAACAATGTATAATCTGTACGAGGAAGTATTCTAGGTGACTTCTTAATGTTTAATTCTATTATGTAGTTTATATAGATATAGATATTGCATAGATAATTTAGATATTGTCCATTCAGAATGTCCAAATCTCTGTTTATATTGGCGATAAAGAATTTTATTTGAAAACCTTATTGACTCCTATCTTGTGTTGTCGTGGTTGTTCAGTCAAAATCTTTCTTTGACAAAGTTTCTCCATTTAGCCAGTTTTTTTAGTCTAATTTCCTCTTAGTTCTTTCTTACTAACGCATTTTGCACGTCTTGCAATTTATAATATTCTTCAATTTACGTATGAGATGCATACATTTGTATAATATTGATTATTAACAGATCTTAAAAACAATATTACTCTTTATTTTATAGCATAACACACACAAACAGAGATGTCCTTTATTCCTTTGTATGGACTTATGAAATCTGCCTAATTTTATTTATCATTCAAACATCATTTCCACTCCATTCACGCTCCGAGGATTTCACACTTTTACCTTTCAATGTTCTGATGATACATTGTATATTTGTGTAAAGTGAGGAACTTTTTTTTTCCAGTAATAACAACACCAATTATATCAATTACCAGATTCATTCTAACTCTGGTCTTCCCACATTTTCAACCTTATGTCTACTCATTGATTTTTTTTTCCAGACACTTCAGTGCTTTTTCAGGTTTTTTTCAGCTAGCACCAAACTCATCTGTTTCAACCATGTCCTTCTCCCTTGCTCATCAACCTGTTTTCTTTCTTTCTTTTGTTGCATTGGTCAGTGATATGGTGGAGAGAATACAGTGCATGAAGCATGCTGTGTCCCCGGTAGCTAAGCTGCAAAGAATGGAGTCTGAGACAGTTGTCATATTTTCAGGGATAATTAATAGTAATAATAACAATAAGAGAGCACTGTGGTAGTAAAAAAGTATTATAATAGGTTTGAATCATTGTAATGTTCATTCAAATAAATATGATTTCAGGGTTGTTTCAGAACTCATTTAACATGATTTATTTCTGTCTAGATGGCTGGAAATGAGCAATATATTTTCTTGACACTTCACTCATTTTTTAAATGGCTACATCAGGCAGGAATGTGTATTTGGGGACATTTTACCGAGCCTTACGGTTGGCAAACACTTTCATGAGTCAAGGAAGCATTCTGGGAATTGTAACTCCCAAAGATAACATTAAGAACATTAAGAAAATGAAAAGTTATATAAATTTCACTTTCAACTTTCATAAGGAAACTATTTGCTTAAAGAGAAAACACTGAAGTAGACATTATAAGTAAACACTTGTATCTTAATTCCAGGATCTTTTTAAAGCATGTAAACCAAAATATCAACTTGGAAAGAAACAATATAGAGCACAGTAACAGTAATGTGTGCTTAATCTAGCATCATTAACCAAATTCCCAGGTAGCTTAGTTAATGGACTTGCTTGTACAATTGCCTAAGAACTGTAGACTATGTATATCTGAAAGACCTGGAAGGAAACACTGGGTTAATTTTTTTCTATCTTTTTCTCTATTCCAATTTTTTTTTAAATGTTTTCCTCAATTAAGGCCTTTCAGACAAATACTTGCAATGTAATCTTGCAAGAAATAGCAGTTGACAGAATGAAAGAAATTGGTATAAAATTATACTGAAGAGCTAATATTTCTATTTCAGATTACTGCTTTGCCAAATTGGTACTTTGTGGGAAAGGATTGATAGATATGAATTTCAAATAAAAATACAGCTTGAAAAGTGCTTTCATGGAAAGGACTGTACAGAGTAATTCTTGTTAAATGTTATTTCTACCACTGGAAGTACATCATGCCATTGATCCCTCTGGAAGATATAAACTTTCTCTCAATTTTAAGACAGAAAACCAATATATGGAGAAATGAATTCAAAACATAGTTTTTAATGATTCAGCAGTGGCTCCAATCTTATCTTCAAAAATAATTCCTGACAACAAAATACTATTGAATTTAACCCACAGTTTGAAAGCTGAGTCACATCTTTTCTCAACCTCCATATGTGATAGAATAAAGCCCCTGAGTACCAGTTTGACTGGGCAAAATTAATGCTAGCTGAGAATAACAAAACCAATATTTCAACTATTATATAATGCAAACACATTTGGAGGGAGAAAAAACCCGAATCTTCTGAATCAAAAGCAGTTCTGCCCATGAGACTACATAGTTGCTAATGATATTTCCCATAAAATAATATGTTTGATTAATTTTTTTACAGGACCAGCTTTCACTCCAAACTTCAGAAACAGTATTAATGGTGCAAAATAGTATATCTATCCCACTTAGTTTTATTTAATCCTAACCTAGTGACAGGAAAACTTTTTAGTGCCTAGGACCATATATAAGCAAATAATAAATTTACAATTGGAAAAAAGGTATAAAGAGTCAAAATTGGAAGGGGCCTGGGTCCCTAGAAAAAAGAGTTTTACATATTAAATAAGTATTTTGCTTCAGGTTACCTAATTCAAATTCTTCTAAAAGCACAAAGTCTAGGTAAATAGGATCGACCATTTTGATATCCATTTTCCTTTAAATTTAAATGAAATGGTTTTGAGACAAACAAACATATACATTATTTCGTCAGCAATTGAAAAAAAAAAAAGAGAGAATATAATAATATATTTATAATTATACAATAGATTAATTCTATTGCATTCATGATGGTAAATATAAAGAATATCCATAAACCTTCATAGACATTAAGAACTTCATGCTATATTAATAAATATTTTATGTGTGTTTTTTTATAATTCTGCCCTATACCTCTAAGAAAAATCTTAACTGAGATATGTCAATGTTACTATTATCTATGTTACAAGTATAAAATCTATGTACATCCTAATGTACCTATTGTTGTTGGCTCTAATCCACAGACTTGTATATTTAGTTTTTGCTCAAATAAGTTATGTTATCACATATGTTAAAATAAAGTTATTCCAATATGTTTTTTTTCTGAAAATTGCATGATTTTCCTTCAATTAACTATGTGGAAAATACATTTTGTATTCTTAGGAGTAGTTCAGGCCAGCCAAATGTTTTTCAATTTCATTGTATATATGTTGTGCATTGACAATAAACGTTTGATTTGATTTGATTTGATTTTCACTTAGCCATCCAGGAACCAGCCCTACTTTATTTTGGCAATCCGAGGCATATAATTTCGCCAGTAGCTATCTTTTTTCTAGCAATTATGTGTTTAATAAAAAATAGTTATTTTTCATCATACCTAAGCTTTGATGTCATTTGCTCATTTTAATTCTCAGTTAGCCATAACAGGGTTTGGAGGCAGGGAGGGAGGGAAGGTGGGAGGAAGGCTTGTGCTACAACAAATCCACATAAATAATTACTAGAACATAAGTAGAACTTTTACAATCAATCATCCTTAAGTCCCCAGGATGACCACAGGAAGTCTTGTCTAGAAACTGCCGATTTCCTTAATCAAATTCATGCTGTGAAAATCACTGTTCTTTCGTGACAGTCTTCTAAAAAGATTTTTCAACACAATATATTCCTATACAGAGGAACTTTGCAATGATTTGCAGGAACACACTTGTACATTTCTTCTTTTCCTTGTATATAGTATTCTAAACTGAAATAGCAGGTCAGGGCACTACATTCACTGTGATAGGAAATACCACCAATTCAACCTTCTCGCCTTAAATGTTTAAAGCTGAAAACATGACAAAGTGCTACCTTCTGCTATGATTGACACTGTAATTCTTCTTCATAATTGCAAATAGGTTTGTGCTAGCATAAAATTAATTTTAATACGTGGCAAATCTCTTACCTCTGTCACTGTCATAGAGATATGCAAATTTGTTCCATTGATAATATTCAATTAAGCTCAGGAGCGCTCCCTTAAGGTCAGGTCTCATTTGAATGACAAAAGGGTGTGTGCCATCTGTTGGAAAACTGGGTGTTATGAAGGAAACATGAAGAGTTCCACAAAATGATGTTATAGTATTTACAGACTTCTTATCATAAAATCCAAAAATAGCAAAGACTCCTCTTGAAAACTGGGAGCAAACTGAAAGGAAAAAGATAAAAAAATATTAGTAGATTGTTTTACAGTTGACATAGATAGATAGATAGATAGATAGATTGATAGATAGATAGATAGATAGATAGATAGATAGATAGATAGATAGAACAGATGTGTATATACAAATATGTACTTGATAAATTTTAATCAGGCAGAGTAGCCAATAAAATAAGAACCTGAACTAGACTTCTGTATATTAAAATAAATAAATAAATAAATAAATAAATGGCAAGGATTTCCCAAAGCAAATGCAATTTTAATATCAGTTTCATCAGCAATAAACGTGAAAAAACTCAATTGTTATGCTTTACACCACTTGATTTTATTCAACCAGACAATGAATATATGAAATATATACATTTTCTATTAAATGATAAATAGAGAAAAAAAGAATTAAATAGTTATAAATAGTACATTAAAACAGTTACATTTCTATCCCAGCTGATGAGGTCAGCTCTGATGTGACAGCTGAACTCAGCCAATTTCATAATATGAGAGACACCTTTTTTATTCGCTCTCCCTAGAATTTAAGTTAAGATGTATATTGTATACCTATCATCTCTGTGTGTGTGTGTTTGTGTCTCTCTCTCCTCCCCACCTCTCTCTTTCTCCCTTCCTCCTCTCTCCCTCCCCCCTCTCTCTGTCTCTCTCAAAAAAAAACCTGAACTAATAATCTACTGGTCCCTGCAAAAGATGGCTGAGATTCTGCACAAGAACAATATGTCAGCCTGTAAAGAAGCAAACAATAAGTAATTCAGAATGAAGTCCACAAGCTAAAAGTCTTGATCTATTTAAGCTGGAAAAAGGAAGGACAGAAGTGGAGATAGGAAGTATTCCCCTACCCATTCCACAGAGCCATAAATAATAACAGAATATGCAGCCAAACTAAAGGTCCCAGAAAACTCATCCATGGGGATAAAAGAGAGGTAGTTCCAGAGAACTGGCATCTGGAAATGCCAAGAAGCTCGTTTGACCATGGACAGATAGAGTGCTGATAAAAGTGAGCAACAAAGAAATTGAAAGAGTCCAGTGTGATTGATAGAATGATAACAGATCTGACAAAGGAGCAAGAGCTAGATCAGTCATACTGGCAGCTGGCAGAAGAAGAGGGCTGTCAAGATCAGCCATTGTCAGCTTGGCACCTTGCTATCATCTTGCCGTCAACTGATGGGCGGGAGGAAAGGAAATGGGCAATAAGCTTGTATGGGGTAGAAATGAGAAACTGGGGAGGGGGGAATAATAGGTTTGACAGAAACCAGAAGTGTGAGAAAACAACCTGTTTCAGTCTTCAATGCCATGTAGCTTGGGAAAGGCATGAGAATTGCCCCAACATCCAAGCAGTTCCCCA